TGATTCAATGATTAAAATAACAGTTTCCCTAGAAAATAATATGTGTTAAAAATATTTTAAATACTGTTTTTAAATATATCAATACTAAAGTTTCTAAATAAAAAAGAAACTTTAATTCTTTTATACAGGTTTAAAACGTGTCATATCATCAGTAAATAATATTTATCCACGTACGGAATTTATTGGTGGCACAAGAAGTCCTGTAACATTTTATTACTCTGCCACGTGTTGTGAAAAGACTGTCAAAATTACAGCAATAGATTTATTAAATAATTACAACACTATGACAATAGATGTCACAGGTAATTATTACATTATTCTTATAATCATTAATATTGTTATACCGACTAAATTAATTTATAAACTTATTTCTTAATTTTCATTACTTTCCAAGAAAAGTAATGAGGATGTTTTTATTCATTGTAACACAAATGTGATTACACATTTTAGAATGGAACAACCTATCAGAAGCACAAATTGCAGCTATTACAATGGGGGCATTGTTAGCTTTGCTACTCCTTATTGTAATCATTGTTTCTATTATATATTGCATTCAAAAAAGGAAAAGTCATGATTTTCCTTATACACAACGATATGGATCTAGACCACCTACGCAGCCAGAAAGAACTAATTTCTAATCTTTTATTAAAACTAAAACTGATATAATCTGAGTATATTCTTGTTATTATATAAATTAATATTACAAATTAACATTAGATCTAAGATGTAGTTATATTAATTATATCTATAATAATGTATATAAAATGTTGTTAATAAATTTTTATTATTATCTTATTTCCACATGCAACAGTGATTTTATTTGATATTTAAAGAACGATCAAAGTCAATTCTTGAAGTCAAACTTCAATGAAACAAATTTGGAAAACTTAATACACAAAACTCATGACAAATATAATAAACATTTAGATTTATAATACAATATAATTGCATGATTAAAGAAAATACACCGAGCCAATTTATTTTATAATTATATACAATTATATGCTAGATGTAATATAAATTCCATATTCATACAAAGTCATTAGAAGTCAGTAAAGAATTCTTATGTAACATATACACAAACACTGAGTAAATAAAATAACTTATTTGCAACAAAATAAGTAAAGTATAAATTGACCTTTGACTTGTAACAAACAATATGTAACAATACCCACAGATGTTTACCGAGATACACATGATATCTGCGAGTGTGTGGAAATAAGTCAAAGAAACAAATAAGAAAACAAACATGATAATTAATTTTACGACAAATGTCATTCGCAGATTTCGTCACATGTCAACAAGATTAGAAACATATGAGTCTATGAGAGCCCCACCCAGGTGTTTCATTAACAGACTCACCATCGCTGAATACCGCGGGTGTAGCAGGCGTAACAGGCACCAAAAATGCATTTTCCGTGTAATTTTCAAATGGAAAACCTTCACCAGCAGCTGATAATAATGGATTTTTCACTTTACGTGATGCACTACTCATGCTTGCAGTGACGTTGGCACCACGCGGCTTGAAAACACTGCCATTAAAAGATTACTAAACTACGAATTGCAAAACACTGTCAGTATACCATAGACTATACACACTTAACCTATATCGCCACGTCTACATAAATAAATACATACGCGCGTAGTAGAGGTCGCGTATGAACTGTACAAAGGAGGTTCAGAGAGGCATGCTCTATGTCTACTACTCTGTACTACTCTAAACGTACTTGCGCATGCGCGATGCGCATGCGTTGATTCATATAACAGCTATCTTCAGAATGATGATCAGAGAAATCAGAATTGCGCGTTATTTAAATAATATTTTGAATAAATTAACAGACTTTCATATAAGAAATATTATACTTATTACTTTATTAATATTATAATATTACTTTCATATAATATTTCATATTATTTTCCGATTTACAGTTTGATTTATCGTTTGA